ATACAATGGATAAAAGTATAGAGAGCTACCCATTTGAACACACAGTGAGAGAAGGGTGAATAACATATCAAATCATGATAGATCGGTGTGGAACAGCAGAAATCGATTTGACGAGAACCCATTGATATCATTGAGTTTCACTTCAACATTTCCCAATTTCATAATAGCCATCGACTCACACAAGTGAGTTCCAGTGCCTTGCCACCACTTCACCTGATCCAAGTTTGTGAATCGAAAAACAAAACCGCTCACCGGACCTGCCCAGTCTAAAACGTCACTCCTGCCAAGTCGCACCGACTTTGATTGAAAAATGCAGCATTTGGTTTTTTGCGGACATTTTTTCACGGGCAAACCTATTTTTGTTTATTCGCTATTTCCCCTCCCCCTCATTCGGAGTAATCTAAGCAACATTCCCCAACTTTCCTGAATTTTATGTCGACAGAACAATTACATTTAAAAATTGCCAAAGCGGTACTCGGACTTTTGCACACCCCCCCCTTGGGTCCGGTAGGCTGAAGTGGTGGGGTTGCTCCTTGTCCTCCTGAAAGGCATCAACTTCATCTCAGCTGAACTGGTGGTTTATACACTGACAAGGACTTCAAGCGTTAACAGCGGTGCGGAGAGTGACAACGTCAAACGAGTGGTGATGAATCCGCTAAGAAGAATAACTGGCTTCATCCGAGAAGTTACGAGTGAAATCCAGCGACCTCAGTTCATAGGTTGACAGCTTGACACCCCGCTTGAGAAGGTCCCAACAAAAAAAAAAGAAAAAAAAAAGACTGTTACGCAGAAAGATAAACTGAACAACTTTTGCCTCCGGGTCACATCGAAATTCTTTAAATAAAATATATATCTGTTTGTGACGATATATATAGATTTTTTTTAATTATTTTTGTTATATTTCGGCCTGCCGCGAAGTGGTCCCGGGCCACTCTGGTAGCCTAGGGGTCAACATTTGCTACGAGATTCGCTGGAGTACTAGAGACAGAGGCATCCAGATGTCAGTGCTGGATGTCCATATTCAGAATGTCCACTCGTGCCCCTTCACAATCTCTGAAAGAACGGATGAGATAACAAATTAACATACCTTCGCATTGCAGTCAGCCCCTCTCTCCAGCAACAGTCCAACCACATCTTTCCTGCCTCGAGAAAGAGCATCGTGCAGTGGAGTGCAAAAGTGCACATCCCGGATATCCACATCGACACCTGCATCCAGTATGATTTCCACCATCTCTCTATCGCCTGCTATTGCAGCAGCATGCAGAGCGGTCTGACCCCTTTGACTATCTACGACCGTGGGATCAGCACCTGCAGTTAATAGCAAGGACACAAGCTCTCGTGCCTCTGCAGGAGAGTACAACAACCAGAGAAAACAGAGGAGAGCAATGGACCCATGAGCAAGGAAAGCAAACCAAACTTGGGAGGTATATGAAATAAAGATTGCAAGTGAAAACCATAGCAATAACGGACTCTACAAAATCACCCATGCAGGCCACATCGACATTATTCACCTACTGGTCTGAGCAGTCAGAAGACTCAGAACCTGGCGGCCTATCCTCCCATATTTTTTGTGGAAACAAGTCTGAGCAGTTGATCATCCAAGAGATCATCCTGCAACCAGCTGGGAGGGGGCAGGGGGGAGGGCCAAAAGTTGATGTGATTTTGTCTGGCTTTGTGCAGCGAGTGTGAATCGAAGACCACCGAGAAGGGGAAAACAAAGGCCTCCATGCAAAGAATTTCAAAGATGGCACTCGGACCCTGAAAAAAGGAGACCACGCAGCGCCACTGGCAAGTAATTGGGTCTGTTCATCCACATCAAACAAGTCACCCTCCTATCATTACATCCCCATCTCTCTGCTTTTCCTCCCCTCCAATCCCTACTATATTGACTGCATGGCGTCTCTTACCCCATTCTTCGTCTCTACAACATTCTTTCTGAGGATATTCGGCCGCCTTCCACCTCGTCCCCCTAAACACACACACACACACACACACACACACACACACACACACACACACACACACACACACACCATTGCCTACGAAACACATGCTAAGAGTAGAGGGCATTGAAAACCAAAGCTTTTGAAATGCCATAATAACATTGCTAAGTTGCTGACAGCATATGGGCATGGCCAAACACTCTTCCGAGTTTTTCTTTTTTACACCATTTGGTTTCTCTGCCAAGACTCACCTTTCTCGAGCCCTTTCTTTAGAGTTGCTGCCATGCGAAGCAGTGTGGCCATAGATCTTACTTCAATGGCAGCCTGAATTTCTTCTGCTGTTGCTAGTTCCAACCATCTTCTGACCACAGCTACTTCTCCAGTTGACGCGCACAAATGTAAGGGCCTGACATCAATCAAAAAGAACAATTCTGTCAAATTTCCTAATGTCCCATCTCACCGTCTCCAGATTCATTCTGCACCTCACACAAAACTCAATTCTCCTCCGTCCTTTCACATTATCAAAACGATCTGTGAATGCCCTCACCAACTTCGTCCTGTAGTGACGAGTAGAAGTGCTGCATAAGAGTAGTGGAAATGCTGGTTAGTATCTGCAGTTGTGCTTTTCAGAGTTTCCTTGGGGGTTGGTCAAGCTTTGGCCCACACAGCCCCATTGAGTGCTCTACCTCTTCCAATGAAGACATCACACCCTGCCCCTCCTCCACCTTTTTTTTTTACCCCTATTTTTTGCCATGCGCCGCATCATGTGCGCACACATGCATGTATGTCCGGTTTGCGCCGCACGTGTGGCTGCGGCGCGCATGTAATGCGCCACAAGTATGGCTCTACCTCAATATATTTTGGAGAAAACTACGGACACGAGAGCCAGCCATCAATTCTTAACCTTATTCTTGGTGATAAAGTTGAATCTGACAGCCTTGGGAAAGGGTCTGAGAGGGATGTGAAAAGCGATGGCAGGCTGACAGTCAATCCTCCAGAAAAGAAATAATCAATGCTGTTCAGGGATCCTCCGGCCAAACAGAAGGAAGTGTCAGCGTGTGTTTGTTGTAAAATGTTGTATGCGTTCCTAGGTAGGTCAGTTAATGTGCACTGACGGGAATTGCAAGCTGCGTTCTGAGAAGAGACTGCAATGGCCCCCAGAGTCGCAGTCTGAACTCTGCACTTTTCTGAGAAAATGCTGTCCTTTGATCAGCTGAGAATCCCGACTCTTAGTCTGTTTGCTGTGTTTTCTGAGTATGTCTGCGATCAGCCTATATGTTGTATACGTATGTCATCTGCTTGCCTGCTCAGCCTGAGTCCAACTCCTGTGCTGTTTGCTAAATCTGTTGGTCGTGCTGTGTGTCTGTTCACAGATGTGAAGACATTCTGGTCTCGGAAAAAAAACCACCATGGTGAGTGCCCTCTCCCCGTCAGTTTATGCAAAAAGGGCAGAACACCTTCACATCTGGAAACGGTAAGGGCATGCCCAATACATATACCCCGACCACAGGAGGCAACAGCAGTGAGAGGCATGAAACGTATATAACCAAAACTTCAATCATGTGACCTCTCACCAGTAAATGAGGGCAACAACAACACAGACAGTCATCACACTAGAAAGAGCTACACTGCGCATGCTCCTCGGGGAAGAACACATACTTACGTCATGCCCTTCGCATTTGGAATAGCCATGGACCTGCAACCGCCATTCTCAAGTACGACGACGGCACACTCCGTGTGTCCCTTTGCCACTGCTCTGTGCAAGACGGTTGCACCTTCATCATCCACAGTATTTGGATCGGCCCCTTCTAACAGAAGTTCCTGTAGAATTATGCAACCCACGGCATAGACACCATGACAAGGTTACAACTGTACACCAGGCAGGCGCCGCAAATCACATGCTCATTCCCCACAAACTTTTCCCTGCACAGTGCATTTATAAATCCACCAACGTCCGCTCCAAAGAAGAGTCGTAATTCAGAGTGAGTCAGATTCCGATCTGCTACCGGTGTTCATGGACATCACGTGGATATCTTGTGCATCATACACGGCAACCGGCTGCTCAATCGCATCATATGAATATCCTTTTAAACTGGTCCAATTTACAGAACAGTGCAACGCATGGATTCAGATAATCATTGCCGCCATTACTTCATCATCAGTCACACAGGGACACGACATGAAGGGAAGGCCACAATCCTCCAACGATTTCTGCACAGCTTTTGCTCGCCCGATTCGAAGGACTGATGATCAATGGCGTGTTACGTACGTCACGGAACCTGGACCAGAATTATGTTAAACTGATGTGAACCTGGTCCAAACCTGGACCGGGCTGAGTGTCCAGGTCAGGGGAAACCTTTGGCTGACAGGGCCGGTTCTGGATGACAGATGAACGGACATGCGAAACAGGTTTTCATCAGAATAGCAGTAGAAATGGAAATGGCTTTAGATCAAAGGATTCATCAGCATGCCACCTGCAACTTTTCTGATCGATATACCACAATATCACAGGAGAGGCAAGACGAGTACGTTAGATGAACAGTTAAATCCAACGATTCGGCCTGATGGCGCATACAGAGAATGCAAGCATTGGGAAGACTGTGTTAATGAAAAGTTGTTTGCCACAGTCTTTCAGCTCTGCAGGAACCTCCTCTTCTCATGTGATCAAGCTATCACATGCCTACCAGGGTAAAACGTTTTCGACGGCGAGGGTGCAGATAGAATGTTTCTTTACGATGACCATGCAATGCACGTGGAGGACAAATTGGATGTTTAGCAAAGGTGAGGGAAAACGAACCCTAAGAGCATAAGGGAATCTTATAAAGAATCCGTTTCGACCATAGGTCCATAGCCATAAGTCTACAGATGGTGTCTTTGAGGGTTTGGGAAAAGGAAATCGCCAGCCAGCAGTAGCATGTTGTCCAAAAGAAAGAGAATGTCTCCGGAAGACAACTGAAAACCACAGTAACAGAAAGAAGCGAATCCACTAGAGCATCTACCGCCATAGTTACACAGTCATAGATTCACAGAGAGGTGTAGATAGGCCGGGCACTACGAAATCAGTTGCACGTTGTATAGATGTTCAGAGAACCTCTGGGAAAGACGACGTCAACACTGTGAATGGAGGTTCCCATGGACACAGCCGGTTCACTGAGCAATGTTGAGAGAATCGTATTTTCAGGTAAATTACTAGCTCCACCGCATTGTCCACAAGGGTCCGTAGCTGAGGTCGAAGCGAGCATAAACAGTATCGATCGAGGTTCATTAAACATTTGCAAATACAGATACATAGTCGCAGGTCTGTAGAGTATTCCAGGTAGGCTGTGCACACTTACGAGTTCTGGGAGACATATGTTGTCAATGTCAAATCCGTGGCATAGATGTTCAGAGAATCATCAATAGATAGATTCACTAAAGGTATTGCAGGTGCACTGCAGATAGAATAGTTCTAAGTATGTCATAGATATTAGAGTACTTGACTTCAGTCCGTCGAGATATCCGTTAAAATTGGAATGATACAGATAAGAGATTAGCATGGCCATTGACAAACGGACAGAAGCTGTTTTTGTTGGCAGGGTGGGGAAGAAGTGGATCGTACAGCTCTGTGCAAGCCTCACGATAGTACATTTCATAAGTTACATGTTGTAGCCCTTGTGGGCATAAATTTCCCAAATACTGCCATTTTGTTGTGGATAGGTACACACTGCATAGAGAATCGTTGTAGATATGATGCATATAGGTATGCAGAGGGTTCACAGTATACATTTCAGAATGCCAGACATGCTGCAGGTCGTAGATCGGGGATTGCTCTCAGTAGGCCTCCCGGAAAGATCCACAATTTTGAATTTTTTACATTTTCTGTGGGTAGGAGGTTCTGGTAAATCTGGTTCCAGCCTGCATACGCCACAGCACCTATAAAATTTCAACGACAAGATGCGGAGCCGTTGCAACATCAGGAGCAATCCTCCAGCAGTGGCATTCGACCCTAGAGTACAATTGCTTGATGTCTGGTGCAGCAGACTTACAATATACAATTTTCTGTTAGATCTGGTGAAGGTGTTCAGACAAATGCATGTTATTAACATTTTGCTCTGTGAAGGCAAACCTCCCATTTACCTCTGTGAATGGTAATGTTGGCCCTGTCATGACATGCCTGCATGGTGCAGACAGCAGGAAACATGCTCTGTACAGGCCTTGCAGCAATCAGGGTATATGCTCTGACAAGGCTGTTATCACGATTTCAAAGCCTCAAAATCCAAGTCAATTAGTTTCTTCCTTTACCCTCTTTCGAACGAGGCAGAGTCTTCCCTGTTGCTGGGCATGAACCATTATGACAATTCTGGCATACCAGAATGTGCCATAGCAACTATCACAGCAGCGTGCAGAACACACGCATCAGGCTATCTGCATGTTCCAGGTACATTCTAACAAAGGACAAAATGGTTGTCACCACACTGTATACGAGATCAGTCTTTACCCGAATAGAACGCCCGGTAATTATCGCCGTATCTTGGTGGAAAGTTGTGCCAAATACAGCTATAATGACCGGGCGTTATATTCAGGCGAAGACGATAAGGGGGAAGCAAAATCGTCTTCATACATATGCTTTTTATAACTCACATGAACGTTAGGCTTTGGGCTCTGGGGCGATATACCGGAGCACATGTATCCTCAAATTTTATCCAACCAGGTACCCTGCCACATTTTGCGTAGCAAACACTAGTAGTCGACGACTAGACCTCCTCCTTCCCCCGAATACAACGCACAGTCATTATAGCTGTATTTAGACTGAAAGATGCCCCAAATACAGCTATAATGACCATGCAATGTGAGACCAAATTCGCTACTCAACCACCTTGAACCAAAACAAAAACAGGCAAAAAAAAAGGAAAAAAAAACATAAAATTTGACCCCCAAGCCCTAATTTCAGTTTTGGACCTGTTAGTCAGGAGCTGAAACTGGCGGTCCCCGTTAACCACGTCTGGCGACGTGCATTGTATTCGGGGGAACAAGGTAGGATGGCAGCATAGACCAGTTAGCCTAGTGCCACAAGGAGATCATTCATTCGATCAAACCACCAGATAAGCTTCTGCGCCGACTGCTGCTGCTATATCAGACTGACCCGCAGCTCAAATTTCAACATTCAAGCCAGTATCTCGGCCGAAGTAAAATGCTATTCTGAGATTCCAAGCACGAAGAGGCCGAGTGGGATATCGGGTTTTCTTTTTTGACAAAGACAGAGCATCCGCAAAAAGGTAACTAAAACATCTGCACAGAGTACAGACTGTCATGCCACAGATCAGGTTATCATCCCCCATTTAAACTCACCCGCATACAGTCCGGATGCCCATGGAATGCGCATACAACAGCAACGGTCGGGCCAAGTCCATCCTTGAGCCGTGCATTTACGTCTGCCCCTTTCTTAGCAAGAGCTTGTAAGCACTCAACCATACCCGATGCCACAGCAAAGAAAATGGGAGTGTCTCCATCCTTATCTTGAGCCTCCACATCTGCTTCTGGGTGCTCCAAGATCAACTCCACAATCTCAGTAAATCTGGGTGTAGGATGCACAGGAGGAATCAACAGAGTGATTACGGTTCAGTCCACAGATTGCTAAGGATAGGAATGCCTACTACGATTTCGGTGGACTGTTTGGCAAAACCACAAGCATCACACCACCACCTCTTGTCACAACCAACACATCCATATTAATCGTGAGACGAAGATCTCCACACCTTGCAGATGAGCACAAAAAATAACAAGCCCGTGACCGACAATTCAACAAACTTGCAATACCGGAAAACAGTCTGGGTTCAATGAACCGAATCGCCAATAATAGGAATAGAACAAGCGATCACTGGGTGCTATATTTCTTTCCACAGCTTGTAGATACAGCGATTCACACACTGGCATTGTGAAACAGTGCAAGGAGCAACAAACGCAAATCCAGACCACACCATGGCATTTGCAAAACAGTAAAAGGAGCAACAAACCCAAATCCAGACCACACCATCAGGCTTATGCGCATGTACTTTCACCGAGACACATATGGCATGCACTAAACAATTTAGTGCCGGCAAACTACCCCTCCTGCAATTCCATAAACATGTCAACGACCGCCCCCAGCAACCATGCGATAAGCTTCCGACAAGATGTGATGGCTTGTGAGAAGATGTCAAAGCCTAAGGAAAACCAAATCAAAGGACAAATGGATGCCCCAGGAAAACCAAATAAAAGGGACAAACTGCTTGCACCCATGACCAATGCCAGATTGGAAGGGCGTGATGTGATTGCAACGAGGCATGGTAAAGAACCTACCCGCGCATTGCCGCAGTGTGTAGGACAGTCTGGCCCTCTACATTACGGCTCTCCAAGAGTGCAGCCACACTCACGCCTGCCTTTCCTGCAGCTGCTCTATTGAGCAAGTCCCTGCAGAAGAGCATAACAGCCCACCATCCATCCAGAGCAAGTTAGAAAGCCGATCAGAGATCCATCACAAAAGTGAGAGATCCATTGCAGGAAAATTACATTCACGGCAACACGTCCACTGCCGTCCACTGCACCTCCAGACAAAGCTGGCAGGAATTGCAAGATTTCTCAATACCACCCAGCCAAAAACCCTTCATTTCACACCTAACACAGCACTTCAAAGTTCAAACCACTTCAAACCACCACCACCACATCCAAGCCTGATTGATGACAGAGGTGGAACCAGGTCAGAAAAATGCAACCTGGCACTTAATAGTCTTCAGGACCACAGGTGCTATATACTCCCCCCATCAATGACCATCAGATATTTTGTAGGAGACGGAATCATTTCAAAAGCTTACAGAGTCCGCCAATCCACTAATTGGAGAGCTTAGCCTACCCACAACCCTCTTGGAAACCACCACCCCACTTCGGGGGGGGGGGGGGGTCGGATAGAGTGTTAGTTCACTGAGACCCCAAAAACAACATTGCAAACCTCGCAGTTCGAATGAAATAGCAAAAGCAGAGAAGGAAGGCCGACCAATGAGGCAAGGACATACGCCTTTCAGATCAAAGGAAATGATGACTTGCCCCCTTGCAGGAAACAGCTGAAAAAGAACAAGAATTAAGGATGTGCAAAAGGATTTTCTGGGCTGAAACCACCTGCAGTTGCGATCAGATACACCAAGGAGAGTCCTGGTGTGAGCACATCCTAAGGAAAAGATGTTGACGATGCAAAAACGCGTAATTCAACTGCCCAGGCTATTTATTCATTTGCCAGAGAAACCATAATCAGTCTTAGGTATGCTTCGGATGATGGGGCATATACCTGACTCCTGAGACATCCCCTTCGGAGACTAACCGATGTAATACAACCTCCACACCTTGCACGAAATCCAAGGTCGAATTTGGCGAAGGCTCCAAGCTTGATCCCAAGTCCGGCTCCTTCTGGAGAGGTAGTTGATCACTGCCCACAATCCAAGCCATGGAAAAGGCACACGGCTGAGCCAGGTCAGGTTTACATTCTTCACTTTTGGCTGTGATTGTCTATAGAAGCTCGCTCTGCTCAAACCCACGAACATAAGCCCCGCAGGACAGGCAATTCTAACTCCAAACAGTCACTCAAGAGTAGCAGACCATCTCGACAACAAGTCAGTCAGAGCGGCTCAGTACTCATCCCCCTTTGCTATGCAGCTGCAGTGTAATTTCCCTTGGCCACTTGGCATCTCCTACCTGAAATAAGATGCTAGTGGTCATACACCCACATATCCAAAAGTGCACTCAATTGTTTGCAAATATAAGCGATCACCCACATAACCCAAACTTCTTGGCTGGACTTCCGTCTAGAGCAGTCAGGGGAAAACAAAAAGCAGTGGGGGCGGGGAGTTGGGCGGTGCGTGGGGTGCAAGGAAAGAAAAATCAGCGGCAAAGAAAATTGACAACAAAACAGAAGTCAAAAAAAAAAAAAAAAAAGCGAAACCAATCACGTGAGCCAGAACGAGGTTCCCACGGACGGCAGCCCATCTGTTGCCGCCCCACTGCCCAAAGAGAACAAAAGAAGAAAAGAGGAAAAAAAAAACAAACAGTGAACCGATCGCGTAAGCCAAAACAAGGTTCTTCTGACACAGCCACCTCCCCAAAAAAGAAGCAAAAAGAAATGTCAATGCACATTTGTGCTGATCCAACATCTCAAACGAATCAGGGTCGTTTCAGGACTAGGTGCATGTAGAATGCTGTGCAGAGCAACCAGGCCCTGACTGTACCTGACTTTCCTTTTCGTTTTTGCTTTCTGCAAGGGCCTGTACCCGTTTTGTTTTTTAATCTTCTTGGAAGTGCTAGCCCCCCTCATAGACCCCTATGGGCCCCATTTGTGAGACAGGCTTACCTAATTCGTTTCAAACGATGACCTTCATCTCGTTGTGACTGAAGAGGCTCGGAAGCTGGGTGCAGAGACGCTCGGCAGCCAGTGTGCCAGGGAACTGGCGGTTTAAGTGCAGAAAAAGAAAAGGTAAGCTGAATGCAGAAATTCAAAACGCAATCGATAGAACTCTCTTATTTCCACTACGAAAGCACAAGAGCCTTATATCTACAGTCGGCATCAGAGTATGGAACGCCAAATGCGCAAGAGCGCACTTTCTTTAGTTCAAATTCTCACGTAAAAATCTCTGGGGATCCTAAACAGCTCGGTCGCTGGCTAAGACGCACTAGCGCCGTCCTATTGGTTTCCTGCTGATAACCTACCTGTTACAACTTACAACCCAATGTATGGGGATCATTCGCCTCAAAATCTATGCGCGAAGGACTTCGAACTTTGCACCTTCCGAGGTGTTCCAGCACATAGCGAGATTACAAGGCTCGTACTCAGAACCTCAGGATGATTTTGGGACTTTATCTTCATCTCTTGCGATCGAAACGAGCTTTGTTTGAGAGATGATCTTTCTTCTTTCAATCTCCATATATAACTGAATCTAAAGACGTAGTGGGTAACTAAACAAGTGGTGACGGTACACCATACGTCGAAATCCAACCATCCAAGCTCTTATCTAGACTGAACCCAATGGGAATTGAAAATTGACTGAGTTGATGTGAGGCCAAGTGGCAAAGAGACACAGGTGACAAGGCCAGGAAAGCAGCTCGCAAAAACTGCAGGGCACCAAGTGGAACCGTTACAATAGCATCCTGCGCACACGTACGCCATACAATGTTTGGCTTGAGAAAGCTAGCGCAGCAGCGAGCTTCCCCAAAGGACTGCAAGGTATACGTCCCCAAAAAATGACCGCTCTTCGAGCCTCATCTCGTATAAGCGCCAGGAGTCTGGATTTTGGAATCTGGTTGAAACTCAAGAATGAGCCTGCACTAGTCACAGCTGCTTACCCGACATAAATCACCCATGCTCTAATGACGATGGGACATTCATAAAAATGAGATTGATTCATGCATTTCTCTTCAGCGAAGAAGACGGTTGTATAGAGACAAAAAAGAGAATAGTTGTACAAAGAGAACACATATAACCCCAAGACTGGGAGAGCAAGCTATCACCCCGCCCATGTGGATGAATGGTACACACATGTACATACTAGTAAATGGAACACGACGTCAAATCCTGATCAAGTCACATGAACAAAATAAAGTCAGGAGCTTCCCACTTCACAATGAAGTTAAGGGGTAAAGCCATGGTTACTATCCACCGTATCCAGACGTCCGAACAGCCATCCAGACTGTCTGGATGTCTGGAGCCAGATGGCAAGGCCCCACTCCTGTCTGAATAATTTACAAATCTGTGAAACCATCAGTACTTTTGCCCCTTCCTTTGCCTAGCCTCCAAACGCGCTGCACACCAAAAAAAGAACAGGAACCAGTGCTGGCCTTCTTTTGGCTGGTGCCGCCGGCCATTTTGACCTCGTAGGCCGACCCCCGAAACTTGCCGGATGTATACAGCCACGCCAGAGAAAAATGTCCAGGAAACGTACATGTCATGTCGGAAAAGTCCAAATCCGATTTTTTAGGATATTCAAAAAGATCTCAACAAAAGATATGTCACCAAACCTTGCAATACAAACAACTTTTGGCGAGGGTCATCTCGAAATTCATAACCAAATCCAGCAAAAACAATAAAAATGATTTTTTGGTCATTTCTTGGGCAGCCCCACCCGTCATCAGGATCAATCCAAACAGCCCAGATCTGTCCGAGCAGAGCGGATCCACTCGGAAGGCACTTTCGCTGTAGCATGGGTTCTGACAACGTCTGACTTCGTTTTGACCGTGCATGTTTTTTTTTTTCCCCTGGGTTTTCTTCATTTTCTCGAGTTTATGTTTTTGATTTGGGATCGACAGAAATAGAAAAATGAAACTCCAGTTACGTCACATACCCTTTTACATTTTTCTGTGAATATTTCGCATATGTGTCATCCTCAGACGATAGCCTAGGGGTTGGTGCCTTAATGTTCAAAAAGTTCGAATAGAAACGCAAAAACAAAATGAAAGAAATGAGGCTACAACTACCGACAACAAAACAAAAACAGAAGCACCGAGTAACGTCCCTGCCAAAAGGTCGAGTACAGTCAGCAAAGGCCATACCAAAGGCGAATCTACACACTGTAAGGATCGTAAATTCGTAATTGAATTTTCAAGTCAAGAAGCAGGTCACACTAGCCGTCATGCAGTGTAGTTCTGTGTCAGAAATCCTTGCCGGTGGAACGGCACCCCAGGGCACGGGCCCGGGGCAAAAACCATGGTCACCCCTTTCAAGAAAGCAGTGCTAGGAATCAGAGTGCATACTCACTTGTCTGGGCTGGCAGGTACACTGATGGGTATTTCTTTCAGAAGTGTCAAGAAGGTTGATAGCATAGCATGAAATGTCGGGCGCTTTGTCGGTTTATAGTTAAGGCAGTCTCCAATCAGCTTGCGCAGCTCACGCGGAATTCCTCCACCTGTCAGACTGAAATACTCCGGGGGCTGACGCTTGCCTTTGACAACCAGCCTGGACAAACATTAAGCCAGAGGAAGCGACAAACCCAATGCAAATTTGAATTCTCCTTTTCCGCTTTCGAGGGAGGGGAAATGTGAAGTTGCCATCCCTTACAGACATGTCAGGGAAGCATACACAAATGCACAACAATAAAGAACTGCCAAAAAAAGGGGAGAATTTTAACAAAAACATAAAGAAATTCTAATAAAAGAATGGAGAGATTTGGATGAAGGACAAGAAACTGTGTGTTGAATGACTCTTGCGAGCCTCCAGGCACAAAGGGCAGTAATTCGGACAGCTCCGCCGAATTGTTCAGCACAATGTGGTGGCCAAAACTGCTTCAAAATCTATCCCATTTAAGATCTCAAAAGAAGTCTATTCTTTTTGCAGTCTGCCTTTCACCAGAAATCTCCTCTTCAAACATTTCTTACCCATGCCATGCCACTTACTGGGGTAAAAGGAGGTGGGGAATATCAGTTACACAAATGCACCATTCAGCCACACCGGGGGTAAGTCATATGAACCATCGGGCCGACCACTTTTCTGAACTTGCAGTGTAGCATAGCCTGAGTTGTGGACCAAAGGAAAACGCAAATGGAGGTCGGATGACCCCTTTGGAGCACAAGTACCCTGTGTGCATTCCATTCTACAGGGAAACTGTTTCCATAGTATGCACAACAAAAACGGCTTATCAGATTTTCAATCCGACTCTCATGGTTTATGCGAAGGCTCCAAACACGATAGGCAAAAAAAAAGGAAAGAAAAAAGAAGAAAAACAGGGTGAAACGGTGAGGCGAAAGTGCACTTGAATGAAAATTTGCATTCGGAGAATTTTCAGAATTTTCAGTGCTGTTTGGAAATGGTTACCACAGACAATTCCAATGGACAAAACCACTTCAGAACATTGACAAATGGTCACCAGAGTCCAGACACAATTCCAACAGTCAAAAAAAAAAAAAGTCGCAAAAGAGTGAAAATTTGGCCAAAAAAAACTGATTTCAGCAATGAAAACAGTTTACCCTGTTAACCACTGGTGGGTTGAAAATCAAGAATGAACCTGCTGAGCATGGCAAACGTCAAATGATTCTCTTCATTTGCTCCAATGAAAACTGAGGAAGGCAAGAGCTTTTTTAGATGACTTCGCTTTTCTTTTCTTTTTTTCTTTTTCTTTTTCCAATCGAATTGCTGAGTTTCCTGAGCCTGATCACAGATAGCAGGGGAAAATTCTAAAGAGCTTGCCAGGGTCCGAGCCTTCAACATACTCTCTTCTTTACTGATCCCCAGACGTAAACAATTGGATTGACAGTTCTGTTTTTTTCGACCTCTGAGGGAGAGACAGTACTCACAGTTGCTCTCGTTACTGAGACGTGCAAAACCAAAATGAAAGACAAAAAAAAAAGGGGGGGCATGGTTGAGAGACGAAAAAACAAAAACTTCACTTTCGTAAGTTTCGTTACAAACTGTGGTTAGAGACCGTACTCAACATTCTTCTAGTTCGTGAGATGCTGATTACAAATGCTCTACTCACGAGTGGTGGTCCTCTAGCGGTCCTCTACCGCTTGACAAGGGGCAGAATCCATCATACAAAAAGAGCACACCTGCCCTCAGTTACCCAATTTCCTAGAGAAACCACGCAATTGGGAGGCTAAACACAGGACAACCTTACGTAGGTGCCTCTTCGTTTGCCTAGTCAGCACGGCTTTATTAGTTATATACCGAGGATAATTTTGATTCCTTTGAGCAAGGCACAAAGTCAAAGCTAGACATCCCCCACTACACAACTGAAATCGCCAGTACGCTTTGAGCATTTTTTCTGCTGTGCTGAGTGCTCTGATTTTGCCCACCTCCGAGCCACCGTATGTACTCTGGAGGCAAAGCCCACCTATCGTGTGCAGCCTAACCGTATGCATGTCGTCGTCATTTTTACTGTGGTTGTAGCTGCAGGGACTTGACTGAGTTTTCAATAATTTCCTTCATAGAGCAGCTGCTCCGTTTGAACCCAGATCTATACAACTGCAGGCTGTATATGTTTCCGATATCTGATGTCACGTGTGAATAATCATCAATTTCATCAAATCCTTCAGAATTCTAACACTGGTATCCGAGTTGGTCACGACCATATCGCTTTTACAGGCCATCTACACACCATCATCAAATGTCAGCTCCGGGTATATCAGTGACACAACATCAGCACATCAGCGCCACGTCCGGACCGCATCAACAAAGTGCAAGCAATTTGTTTACCACCCCAAAGGACTTTCAATCACAGATGTCTGCTGTGTAGTTAACTGCTAGTAGTCATTGACGGGTGCAGCGCATGTATCAACACATGGTTGACTGACTTCCCTACCTTTTTTTTTTTTTTTTGTTTAAGCTGTCTTCTCCTCATATATGGGGCAAATCTGTATTCACTACACTACTTTCTTCTCCCAATACTTTTCCACCTCACACTCGCTGCCTACATTACCTATCTTACCCAAACATATCCAGGACAAAGTTCTTTACACAGCTAGATGGCCCAAACCTATAGCTAACTGCCACTGGTAATTGAACCCATCTGTACCTATCGGCTCTACTTTATGGGGAGAAGTACCCAGGCTCCTCACCCCTAGCGCGAGATGGTCGGGTTCCAGACTCCTGCCAAGACCGGCCAGGGGGAGCAAGCGACCTATCTCAGCCGGTGAAAACTTCCATGCTGATTGTTCGGACCAGCACATTTTTCATTTTGGACCATAGGAGTGCCACAAATATATTCAGCTCCGCGCCTACATATTACTGCATGAGCACCCTTGCATGGAGAGAACGAGGTGTCAAGCAACAGGTTTGATGCCAAAAGCTAGAGGGGAGGGAAAGGGACGCTATAAATAGTCTAGCCCTGAGGCTCCTTGGCAGGAGGCTGCCAGGGAAAAGAGGGAGAAAGAATAGAGAGGGTGCCAGAGGAATGGAACCCAACGAAGGAAGAGTTGGAGACGAGGAGGAGAGAGATGGACCGGCAGATCAGAACAATTGAGGAATCTGAGACGAGAAAGGAGGTGTCTGATTCACAGCATGCTCTAAGTGAGCCTTCGACACCTCATGAAGCTACACTGCAGGCCGCAGGAGTTCTGCAGTCGACAAAACAGGATATAGACCGAAAGTTCCTGTCAACAAGATCCTTGCACAGTTGGGCGCGACTTGCCACCACAATGCACAGGCGTTCCTCTCCCCAAAGAGGTCTCCATGCACCCAGAGCATACCATGGAGCTGGGACATCTACTGAGACAGAGGGCAACCTGCCCCCATGGCCTGAGTTGCATCAGCCACCACCATTCAAGGGTGAGAGAGACGAAGACATGGACCAACAAAACTTCAGGTTTGCTCAACTATTCCTGTGCCGATAAAGATGAAGACAATCATACCCGCCGGCCGTATTGCAGCCGACCAGTGGGGGCGACCGGTCGGCAGTCTGCTGACCAGTCAGAAGCAGCCATCCACTTTTTTTTTTTTTCAAATCTGAGTTCGGGGCTGTACTGCGCTTGCTGAGTACAGCCCAAATGCGCTGAGAAACTTTTGGGGATGAGGGGGGGGTATGCGGGGGGAGTATAGGGGAAGTATAGGGGGATATAGGGGGATATAGGGGGATATAGGGGTGGTATAGGGGGTATTGGGGGTATTGGGGGTATTGGGGGGGAATCAACACAGAGAAGAGAGATGGAGAGAAGACAAAACAGAGAACAACAAAGGAAAAGCAAGGGAAAGTAGAGAGAGTGGAACGAAGATGAAGGCAAAGGAGAGGATAAGAAAAGGCTCAAGAATCAGTCTGTCCTTGTCCACAGAGAGGACATACAGTGTAAGGATGGGGAGGACACACATATTGAAGGCCCAACAACCGATTGCCACAATGGCTGACATTGAGCATGCCCACCATACATCCCCAACAAATGGCATGTCGATTGCAGGCCAAAATGAAGGAAGAACGGTTACCAGAAAAGACCATGCATTCAGTACAGCGCCCATGGCTGCAAAATGGACTTATAGTGTCCAGATGCGGAGGGTGCCTGCAGTCAGGAACAAAGGGACAGTCCTCTACACACATGGATGCAGAAACCATGTTATTGACGTGATTGTGACAGAGACGATGACAGATACAGCTGAGTGTACCAGTGTTTGTAGCTGTGCAAAGGAGAAGGTCGCAGAGTGTTGGTACATTGTCCTGCTGCAGCACGGGGCCAGAGGAATGATATCTGACATAAAAGACATTCCGGACAGCTTGGTATGGCAAGAAAACAACATCATTATGTAAGAAATCAGTAACATCAGTCATGGCATGGAGTCATGGACCATGATGACCTCGTCCCACAGCTCCCCGTAGTCAAAGGCATGTACAGTGGCCATGTAATGGCCAGGTCCGTGCACACCGCAGGCAGAGATGTGGGATGGGAGGATTAAACCACTAACCTGGTCGATCATTGAGTAGTTCACTTTGGCGGTCCCTCATTGCTACTCGTAGTAGGACAGACATGGTAAAAAAGCCTCTTTCACTGGTATAATTGCATACCCTCTGGCATTGTAGGCGCGGAAGATCAGCATCCAGCTGAATGGCAATTGCAAGGAATTCTGACAGTAATAAATGGGGGGCAGTGATTCTAAAGACAGATATTAGTCAGCAACGGGCCTAGCTCGGCTGGTACACCCATGAACAGTTCAAATACAGGCCCAAATTCGAGTCCAGATACAATCAGATGACCAGAATTAAAATCACCCTGAATTACCTGGGGCCGGTCAGTCCAACAATGATATCTCAACGTCATTTCCACTTTTGAAAAAAGGAAAAGAAAAGGAATAAAGAAGAGGGAAGAAAAAAGACAGATATTAGTTGAAGTCAGACCGCAGAGATTGGTGGGGATCTCAGGCTGCAGATCACCTAGACGTCGTTGCATGCCCAAAATGTCTTGGGTTGTTTGCTGGTCAGTCATTTGCAGATCACCCATGTGGCCTGCACATGGCGGGACACAAATTTGTGGTTCATCCAAACGATGCTGGTCAACCATTTGCAGATCCTCCACGTGGTCTACGCTTTGTGGGGTTAGCTGCAACCCAGGCAAATCATGTTCCAATCCCTTGACGTTTGGGGCTTCATCCTGAGTAGAGACTGCCCCTGGAATTGAGAGAGTACCCTATAGGTAGCATGACTGGTCTGGTCAGGGCACCTGACCAAGTCTTGAATGTGCTTGCGCTCAGCCCAAAGGAGGAGCTCATTATGTTTGCATTCGTGAGTGGCCCCTGCACACCAAGGCTGGCCAGGCATTTGTGGCTGAAGTAACAAGAACTTCAGACTATTAGCAAGGACTTGATTTAGTGCTGTAATCTGCACCAGGGCCGCAAGCGACCAAACATCACGAAGAAGGATTCCGCTCAGCAAAGAGAGGATCCCAAGGAAGAGGATATGCTGCTGTCGAACAAGAGCCAGCACCATCAACATCTCAGGGTCACTGTAGGTTAATAAAATGAGAGGAGGGACGTCCCTCTCAAGACAGCAGAGAGTGCAGCCAGGCTTGAACCACAGGGATAGCATGGTCAGGCCATCCTTACTGCAATTTAAGCATTGCAAAAGCAGTGAACCCTGCCGCCTCAAGAGGGCCATGGCGACCAACGGGCCTAGCTCAGTTGGTACACCCAATAACATTGTGAGGCACCCGCCAGGCTGTGGTAATGTCACCTTCTATAACCCAAGTCACACTCTTGAATGCTCGGTCTACCTAGAGTATTGCACACTTCGCATGAGAACAGTCCAGAAATTCCGGATCGTATATACTGTCCAGCACCACGGTGAGGGCTTTCTGTACAATAAGATAAGGCCACCCTTGTGGCTCAAAATTTACCAGCTTGTAATTGCTGACTCAAATTTGAGAACCAGGTGATCGTGAGTGTCGATAAACTTGAAGACCAGTCTGTTTAAAATGCGCTGCTTTTAAAGGTCGTTGAGTTTGCTTATTCGTTGATACTCCGTTCGTTTCTGCTGGAGTTCATTACGACTTGCCATAGAATGTGAACCAAGAGTGTAAGTTCCTCACTGATCCAAGAAAACGGGGGGGAAATGTAAACAGGGAAGGATAAGGAAAAGGGAGAAACGAATGGTGTACAGTAAGAAGCAGGGGTCCGACTTTATACAGAGACATTCCAAAATCCACCTGACTCACAACAGAATTGACCAGAGAACTTGCCACAGGAGGAGCAGTGGTAGTGGTAGGAGGAGAGATGAGCGCTCATGGGAAAGGCCGGGAGGCAAAAGGGGTGGGGTGGGGGGGGAGGAGGGGGCAGGGAGTGAAAAGCACACACCTTTCAATGTCCACCGGACTTGCAGAATCCCAGGGCATCACTCCTGTGCACATTTCAACGAGTGCGCAGCCAAATGCCCATGCATCAGACCACGATGACATTCCCATAACATCGTCCCCTCGAAGGAATGATCCTCTCCTGACTGGCTGCCAAGCTTCCGGAGCCATATAATTTGGTGTCATCAATGTGCACTCGTGGCAGTTGTGGCTATCAACTACCAGCCCAACACTCGTGCCACTGATGCTGCTCCCATGCTTAGACCTCCAGCATCGTTGCTTCAGGATACCAGGAAGAGCAAAATCAGCGACCAAAGCCCTGCCCCGCTTATCAATAAGGAAATTTGGAGGCTTCAGGTTCATGCACATCACTCCTGCTGCATGCAACTCTGCAACTCCCCTTGCAATGTCCGCCCCGTACCTTGAAGAAAGCAAGCATCATGGTCCAAATTCATCGTTCAGCACTTGGATCACACACACAAAAACAACATGGAAAATTCAAGAGGAGAGAACAGCAGCAAACCAGCGAAAAAACAAAGCAACGAGAATATGAAAACATCTGAAAGAGGACTACGTAGTAATCTCGACGATGATAGAATGGAAAATGCAAGCACTGCCATGCATCCTCGCACTACATCGACCAAACAGCACAGATTGAGCCATTGAAAACTTTAAACCACCAGTACATGGCCCCAGCCAAGTTCAGAATCCGATTGAGCCTCTCCTAAAATTTTGGAGGCTTGTGCGCCGCACTAGCGGTTAATGGAAGGCTAAAAATTCGGGGGGTTTCGCCGCGTCGCTACAAGCAATGTTGTCAAAACTTTTGCGAACAAACTATGCAGGATCATAATACAAACATCAAAAAAATCAATCAGGCAAAAAAAAAACGAAAAAATCAAAATCAAGAGTACTATAAAACCCTTTTCGGAGTAGCTTTCGGAGTTCGCCAAAGCCTTTTTTGAGTCTGGTGTTTTTGCTAAGTTTTTTGTTACTGCTCCAAATACGGCGAAACTGGATACAGATATACCCTAAAGCACATATATAACAGGCAAGAAGAAAAACCGAGAAAAAAGTAAAAATTCAGGGAAATATGGCAGTTTCGGTGAAAAAATCGCCAAAATTCGCCGAATTTTGGGCCTTCCATTAACCACTTCTCGTGCACCATTGATGAAATACATCGGCAGCGGGCAGCCTCCGAAAGGGGCCCGCAGCCGATGGCTGGCATGTACCAGTCCTTTGTAACAAATGATAGATAGATTGCTCAACGGATGCCATTCAACTAAGAGGTTCAAAATACATGATAACCTGGACTGGCGGACATACTAACACATTGGACTCAATAAAGATTGAACATTTGGCATTGATTGATCAATTTGGCTCATTCCTACAGATTGATGGATTCGAAGACTGATGTCCGTACTGACTCCATAGATTAATGAACTGATTGGTAAATCACTCAAGAGTGTGGTCCCTTGATGAATTCAAATTTTATTTGCACGATTCCTGAGTCCTGACCAATCACGTGTGCAATGCCGAATACATCAGCTAATAACCTTTACTTAACATCCATCGCCACTCAACACCGACTGAACTCTGGATCTCCCAAATCCTACAGTCACCAGCGAGGGATTTCCGTGGTGGATTTGTAGGAGTGGGAGGTGGCGAGGATCACTTGACAAACTCAGATGGATCAATCCAAACAAAAGAGAAAATCAAATCTTCAGTGCTTTGCAGGCGCTCGCAAGAGATCACTTTTTCAAAGTAATGATGCGTCGCAGCCTTGGTGTCATGATTAGAAACACATGCTATGTTTCCACAAATGGATTGAAAAGTAGGTCCATGTAATTGATCAATACTTCGTAAACAACACTCCCCAAGTTTCACTCATTTCTCCCAGAGAGCCCGCATTTGAACTTCGTTTATCTCCAAAGTCCCACAGTCACCAGCAAGGGATTTCAGGGCTGGATCTTTTGGAGGCTGGAAAGCGGTGAGGATCCGTGGATGCATGTAGACACATCAAAACAAAAGAAGGTAGAATTGCCATACAGTCCCACAGGTTTCAAAATGTGAACAAGTGTAGAGCCAGAACATGGGAACATACACAGCCACTGAGTTTCTTTTTTCGTCACATGGCTGGCTCACCAAATATGCCAAAAATGAGAACGGATCTAGAACCAGAACTTGGGACAATACACAGGCATTTGGTTCCTGGTTTTCCCTGGCTGTCTCACCAAATATGCAAAATGAGGACGAACATGAAAAAATACACAGCCATTCAGGTCATGGCCTGTTTTGTCAGTAGGATTGGAACTCCAGTCTACCTGTCAACAGCTAAGGCCATGGGAAGATACGTGTCTCGTGGCTGTCTCACCAAATATGCAAAATGAGAATCAATCTAGAGGCAGAACATGGGAAGATACACAGCCATTAGGGTAGCGTTTTTTTGGTGAGTGTTCGAACAAGCACATAGCGGGCACGTCTGGATGGAAAGCAGAGAAGTAACTTCTACCAACCAGGCAGGAGCTTGATTCCGGATGACCTCGCACCGCAAGTACCAAACAGATCTCAGAGTCAAGTTTTTTACTAGGGGCTATCAACAGTTGAGGCCATGTGCTTCTTCTTTTATATCCGTGGCTGTCTCTGCGTTTTTCTTTTTTTTTGGGGTGGGGGTGGGGGTTTGTGTTAGTACCATCCACTGTATGGCCCGCCCCACATGGTGCCTCGGTCCAAGGACACCATCTGCACAGCCCACATACTACCAGCGTTTAAATCCCTTTCTTAACTGTGTTCACTTTGGCTTTCTTTGGGGTACCCTTTTCATTCATTCTTGCACCTCCCCTTATACTGTGCTTCTCATGTGCAAGGCTCACCATGCTGATTGTGATTCAGTGCGAGCTGCCCACATCCCCGTGTGCCATAACAGCCCACTTGCACAGTATGAAAGGAGGCATTATTAAAGGTGGAGGTATTTCCCTGTTCATTTTTCCTCAGACATTCAGCTTCTATTTGTCTGTTCTCTCAATGATGCTCATCTGTATGCATTTACTAGTAGTACACAGAGCAGGGAGGAAGGAAATACGAGGTGGAATTCTCACAGGGTTCTAAATACTCACCACTAGAGCAGACTGCTCTCGAATGGGACATGAGGACAGTCCGTGTTCGGGTTTCATAAGATTTTGAATTGGGAAGCAGCCAGACCTGTAAGGGCGTGGACTGTGGAAGTACCGCATCCAATTCTTGCAGTCGCAGTTGATACGTCGAACGGCACCGCGTAGACAGATGTCACACGCTACATGGCTCCTACACGCTAGGAGCACGGGAGCATGCCAACCGCAATTGTAGAGGCATTCCTGTTCCAGCCCGTCTACAAATTGGACATGACATGTCAGGGTGCCGTACATGAGTGCAGTATTGACTGTCATCATACTTGTGAAAAGAAAAACCCGCATGGGCAATCCCTTCGTAATCCTCATGGCACAAGGGATGTCTTTGTGCGTGTAGTATCACCCACAAAACACGATGCCGCTCAGCTCACATAATACTGCATGGTTGTGCCAAGGAGCAAGTTGTGCCAAACTTTGGCCATGTTTTTCTTTTTCGGGTGTTGTGGTCAGGAAGAGGAGGAGCAGGCTAGCGCCAAGCGTCACGGGGACCTGCTTGTTTGTGTTTAACTCCCCAAAACGTACCCATTCGTCAGTGAATTCCTCAACACTAGTGACCCGCAGGAGGCTTGCTGACATTTGGGCAGGGGTCTACAGGGGATATGATGACAAGTTGACGCATATCACTAAACAGGACCCGGCCAAACCAGCAATAAGCCCTCTTTACTGGGCAGTTGGGGACCACTTCATAGTAGGACTCGTTGGGAGGGCTTATTCACAATTTGGTGGGTGTCTGCCGGGGCAATATTTTGACAAGTTAGCGGAATGACAAGCCCATTGTGGACAAAAGGAAGCTTTTAGAGGACTTCTACAGTCAGTGAAACCCGGGGGGGGCTCATGAAACCTGGGGGACTTGCAACCCTCTCAAATCTTCCACGCCTGGCAGGAGAGTCTGCGATCGCACGTGCAGTCGTTTAGCGTCGAGGAGTTAACCACTCAGAGAGCTTATTATTCGACATTCGAGTGTCATATGCCACCCCAAATATCGTCAAATATATCTCATAATCCATAAAGGGATGAAGGGCAAAAGGCAACTTACCTAAGACAGACGACTCCACCAGCAAGAAAGCACCGACCCCCTGCTCTAGGTCCAATAAAACTTGAAGAGCCCTCCGTATTGGCCCACAAGTCCACAAAATTAATTACAAAATTAATTACAAAATTAATTACAAAATTAATTACACAAGCACGACCGCATTGGCACTGCTATTCATTCCAAACGACTTGCTCACGTCACCACCATCTCTATCATTCCATGGCTAAACATCCTCCATTTCATTTTGCTGTCTAGCTCTGGAGTGTATAGAGTGCCATAATCCAAAAATCAACAAGATCTTCACGCGACACCGGGAGCGCTACTGCTTAAAACACCCTAGAAGCCCCCATTTCCTCCATCTGCTCCGAAAAAGCAGCCCATGGAAATGACACCCACAGAAACACTCTCTGCGCCTCCCTGAGCCTCCTCGCAAAGGTACTGTGGCAAAACTCCAAACACACATTACCACCCAAAAAAAAACTCGTGTTTTGAAAATAACTGTGTGCATGTGTTTTAAAGATAAGCTGTCTTTCAGGTCCGATACAGTCATGACGAGGTGACGAGGGGCGTTGTGTTCGATAACCGTTACTTCTGACTTCCGACTTCTTACAGAACACCACGCCCCCTCATCATGACTGTATCAGACATGAAATGTTGCCTGTGTACATTCGAGGATTCGCGGCCTGTGTACACTTGAGGACTCGTTGCCTGTGTACACTTGAGGACACACTTGAGGACTCGTTGCCTGTGTACACTCGAGGACGCAAAGAGCCGTTGTCTCGTTGTCTAAGTCCACAAAATGTGTCGTCCAACATACACAGGCTGCGCTTCATGTCCAATACAGTGATTTATGACAGTGAGTTGTATTTCACAGCAGCTACTTCCCGACAGAACACACACCCTTATCATGCCTGTATCGCACCTGAAAAGGAGCTTGCATACATTCAAGGACATGATGAGCCCTCACAATTTCTGCATCCTCTAATGTATACAAGCTCCTTTTCAAGTCCGATACGGTCATGATGAGCGAACATCGACGAGGGTGCTGATCATACGCTGAGGTGCCTCACTAGGATTGAATTGACACAGGCAGATTACCCAATTCATTGGGAACAGGAAGCGAAACGACATCTCGTAACAACACAGCCTTTAGGTAACACCGGTGAAGTCCACAAAAATGTACGTTCAAAATCGCAGAGGATCCGTAGTACCTCTCGGAGGTGA